ACTCCCCTACATTGTCTGTCCTGTTAATTGTTTTGAAATGATGTAATTTTTTGTCCATAGTAAATGGTGTTTAGAAGAGAAATATAACCCAACTGGCATAAGATTTCAAATGTTCTTTTGTATATAAATGGTCTTAATGTCACAGGGTCAGTAAAATGTGCAGCCTGACCAGGACTTGAACCTAGGAACCTTGGAATGCCTTTCCGCGGCTGGACTACTGAGCAAGCCATCCGGGCACTTTAAGAAAATGCACATCTTCCCTAAATAGTGAACAGTTCTGAACTATGACATACTCCCGCACTATATTGAAATCTGTCCTTGTTACAGAGCAATGTAAATTAAACGCTGAGCTATATGCAGACACAGTCCCATGTTGGGCGCAAAATGTCACAGTGAAAAAATTAGCAGTCTGACTGTTCCACAGCTACTGACTGAGCCATCTGGCCTATGACAAATATTTTTTCTTAAATTGTGGTCAGTTCTGAACTATGACATTAGCATAATGCTTTGAAAATTAAGCAATGTATACTTTTCTTAAGAGTCATGGTATCCATAATAATTCGTTGAAATTTGGGGTCAGACTATTCCCGGCTATTCTCCAGTGTTGTCAGGTCCTATCGACTTTTAACATTGTAACAGGAATGTTGCATCTGTGCCATTGTCATAAAAGTTAAAACATGTTTTCTTTCAATTTTAACGTGAATATAAAAATCCCAGTTTCAATTAAGTGAAGATTGCCGACTTATAAAACATAGATTGATAGTTAAAACGAAAATTTTCTTCTGGATTTATATATTTATTATAGCCAGGACTGTGCACACTTGGCAGTTTTATCACTGTAAAAAAACTTCATGAACATGATAGAGGAGAAAATGTGTAACTTAAGCAGGTAATGGTAGGTCAATTGGTAGAGCTGCAGTAAAAATACTTTGTCAAATACTCAAACACCAGTCAGGCTTGAGGCTTTAAATTTTGCTCACCCTGTGGCAATTGTTTTCAAGTTACAATAGGATTTGTAGGCCAATGTTATAGCTGAGTATAGATTATAAATCAAAGTGTTGTTTGTACTATACATAGTTATAGTGTTAGACATGGCATTTATGAGTAGTTTATGAACTATTTCAGGTGAGATCAAACAATGACAACAATAAAACACACACTACAGAAGGATTTATTTTTGCCGAATGACGAAAGACTGGTTGGTCTGGTAAATGTTACTCAGGCAGGCAAAAAGAAGAAAAGTAGCAAGAGCAGCTTTCTCTGTGCAGCATGTAAATATTAACTTTAAACTTGTTTGAGTTAAACCTCTTTATAATTATAGTAACATGTTGACCTTCTATCTTCATTGACATTACATTGAATTGTAATTTGTATTACACAACTACAAGTCTGGAGTGGAATCGTTTCAGGTGTTGTCCAATCTACATGTATTTGAAAATGTGTTATATGTCTTATATACTTTCCCTTGTACAGATTGTAAGGTTTCCATTTCCAGTGAAATACAGTATCATTAGATGTGTAAACAAAACTGTTAGTAAAAACAATGAATGTATATTGCAGTAAGTACAGGAGTTGATGGTAACACACAGGTACATGTGTATCAGATAAAGAAAGCAGAGAAGGGAGACAACTTTAAGAAAAAAGTAACATGGACATTGAGAGAACTGAAGGCTGTTGATGGGAAGGATAAAACAAAGGTAATACACCTTTAAAAATAAAAGATGACATATTGTCACCATAGTGCAGTAATGGGTTAAGTCATAGAAAGAGCACCGAAACACGAGGCTATCTGATTTGTACGAGGGGGCGTAGCCCCGAGTATTTATCAGATTGCCGAGTGTTTTGATGTTCTTCCTCTTTTGTATCATAGTCAACCATAAAAACACGTTCCCTGTTGTCACAATATGAAACCCCGGAGAAAAGTAACCAATGAACGAGCATCTAAATATGACATTTCTGTCGCTTTCCCTTTCTCTGCCGTCACAATAAGTGATCCCAAGCAAAAATGAGCCAATCAATGGGTATGCTCTATATTGCGGGTAACTAATACCTGCACTCTAGTTAACGCACAGTGCATGTATATGTATACGATTTAACTCAGACATATTTAAACAGAAAGGTCCCCAAACTATGATACAAGTCCTTCTAAATTTAATGGGAGTTAACCAGTTATTGCACGTAGGTGATAATATTTGGCTGTAGAATAGTTGCCCAATATCTCTGTCTTTTAAGTAAACTACTCTAAAAGTTTATAGATAGGCTTGTAATCTCTAATGCACAAAACATCAGGTAAACTATCATGTTCTTTTTTATTTCACTTTTATTCTAGTTTTGTATTGCCTGAAATATTATTTTCATGATTTATTCAATGTTTGAATCATGGATTAGGTGAAATCTATTCAATTTGTTTTCTCTATTATGAATGAAGTAATGAAAATGACCATGTTTGTTGAAATAGTTTATAATTGTTCAAAAATGTGATAGCTGCATCTTCATAATGTTTCGAAATATTAAGATCATAATTTTGGTTTGACTTTTATGTGTTGTTCCTTTTTTGAACAGGAGATAGCAGATTTTGATCTACATTTTGAGAAGATCTATAAATGGACAGCTTGTAGCGTGGAGGATAAGGAATCTTTTATTTCTTGTTTATGGAAGGTAACTTATGTCAAACATTGGAATAACATGCAATTATTTATCTGAATTTTAAATATCAATTGTTTCTCCTTAATCAAGAGGAAAAGAGGAACAATATGTTTGTAAAAATCATGAAGAATTATTATTGAATCCTCTCAGATATTATTTAGCAGTGGATAAAATACATTTGTTTTGCACTAAAGATAAAAATGTGTTTCTTTTCGAACTTATTTACTTGATCAAATGACTAAACTAGGGAAAGTTATTGCATTGTCATGTGTATTCATACTGTCAAGTGTAGGATGGATTGCTGTCATGTACGTTAATATAGAATGGTAATATTTTGCCTGCATAATGTTGAAATAGCTGTTAAGTATTTAATTGAAAATTTCAATGTAATAATGAATTTTACCAAAAAATGAGTTTAAGGTTGATAATTCATTACACAGATCATTTGAATTCTATGGTAATCTTGTCTGTTTTTTGTTACTTTCAGTTATCACAGAGACATCTTGTACAGAAACCCGAGTTCAATAATGTTCCTGAAAGACTTCTTGAAGGTCAGTACAAACCAAGGTTTTATTTGTTATGTATTACAGGTTCAGAATTCATCATCAGTTAGCTATCCAGTAACTTTCTGAAGGTCAGTAATTATACCAAGGTGCTAGTTTGTGCCCTCAAAGTTTCCACATACGCGGACATCTAGGTTTTTTTTCCTGTGTCGGAACCGTGAAATCACTGTGTTAAATGTATTGCTGTGTATGACCCACATCTAACCCCTTTGAACATAGAAGGACAGAAAATGTGTGTAAATATGCAATGAAATCACTGTTGATGATCTATATTTAAACATGTGACATAGTCATTAAAAGAGCGATGCGCTGAAAATAAGTACAAAAACAGTTCAGACACAATTTAGCTTGATATCAGTCAGGTATGGCAGCATTTATTTGTCGATGTTATGTTAGAATCAAAATGATATATCCCAAGCAGTGATTTTATCACGTCCTCGTGATATGATTCCTAGCATCCAAACTCCAAACAGTGATAAATCACTGTTGGGGATATATTTTTTTAAATAATGCAAATTGATTTTATATGTACATGTACTAACTTTATCAGTTAATTGTTTATACTGATAGAAATTATCAAGCCTACCAGTCATGGCCAGGCAACGCAGGAAGGTGTTGCCATAGCAACAGAACTTGAAGATTATCAGGCGTTGTCAGCAAGAGAGGAATCAGATTTAGAATCTCTAATGTCAAACTGTGATGCTGCCATCAGTAATGCTGAAAACTTTGCTGAACAACTCTCCAAACAACTCTCAGTTCTTGATGGGGTAATTACTGTTTAAATGTTATGTATTTGTCAAGGTCGCACTTGTGAAAAGAGCTATTGGCAATCTTTAAAAAATTATTGTTATTGTTGTATGGGTTGACATCAATCTGATTAAAATCAGCTCCTAATTAATTAGGATCTGACATCCACTAATAGGTTGTCACCTTTATAGGTTGTATCCTTTCAAACAGCCAATCATTGGTGAGCTTTCATAATTTTGAAAGCGATTTGGTTTTTAATTTTAACTGCTAGAAAACCAATACTGAGTAGGTAATTTTCATGATTTTGTGGGAACAAACCTGGCTTTGTCCATATATCCTTCAAGTAGCCTGGCAAAATAATCTAACCCATTAAACATCAAGTCAATTATTTCCAGTTTATTGGTTTCAAATTACTTCAAACATTTTTTTTCTAACAAAAATTCCAACAATTTGTTTTACTTCCATGGACAATGTTAATTTGATACTTGGTCTAATGACTATCTGTAAAGGACAGTTTGATTGCATTGCTAAAAAAAGCTTTCTTGGGAAATCCAAATCACAATGTCAGTGAAACGGTACGGTGGAAATCAGATCTATATGCAAGAAAAACCTCAAGTAGATTAGGTCAGATTGGATTGACATTTAACAAAATTGAGCTTATTATCAATTTTGTTAGATTTATTAATGAGCTTAATATCAATTTTGTTAGATTTATTAATGAGCTTATTATCAATTTTGTTAGATTTATTAATGAGCTTATTATCAATTTTGTTAGATTTATTAACGAGCTTATTATCAATTTTGTTAGATTTAATAACTACTGTTATCAAAGAAAAATCCAGCACATAATGATGTCAATGCTTATTATAGATTCATATTTGATAGTATGTTCACTATACATCTAATTAGCAGTTACACATGTACATTATTATTGTTGTATTTTAAGGCAAACATTCACTCTATAATGGGAAGTGAAGACCAAGTATTAAACTTAATGAGACTTCTAGATGATGGCATACAACAGGCAGAAAATATAGAGAGTAAACTAGATTCTTATGATAGAATATTACAGGTAATCATATCATTTATCACAATTTGTATCATTTCTATTTTTTTGTGTACATTTTTTTTATTCCATTAATCTAAGTATTCTATTACTGAGATGGTTAGTATATCATAGTTATAATAGTTATACTAGTATATGTAACCTCCATGATCATGTGGTTGAGGTTTGTAAATGTCTTTGGATCACTTGTGAAAGCACTGTATTTACATTTCCAAACCGGTGAAGTTTTTTATGTGAGCTAGCTACATAATTATGTCATGCTAGCTTACAGATGGTTGATGGTTCTACAGCAGTAGATTTTCCTGCATTAATGGATGGATGTTCATTATTCACACATAGAATTTGTAAAATGCCTTAATTGTAGTAGCATTGGTTAATAATTGTTCTAATAAATTTTGTAAAAGTCTGTTTTGTTGAATTGAATTTGGTCTTTAAGATAAATTTCCAATCAACACATGAAAGTAAAGATACTTTTTCATGATAACAAGTGTATTCTGTAATAGATTTGTTTCTGCAAAGGAAAAAACTTTGGAAGGCTTTCTTAAATAGATTGATAATCAAGCTATGAATAATTAACATTATTTTAAATGACAAGTGTGGTGAATGATAACTAGTATATGTTATATAACAGTCAGTAAAGGACCAGATGGAAGTAATGAAGGACAAGGATACTCTACTGTCTGTAAGGAATGATAACCATCAGAAAATGTTGGAGGAAATTGAAAGCCTTGTTGTAAGTATATATAACTTCTATCTATAGGTTAAAAAGAGAAAAGATTAAAGGAACTCAACTGAGGTTCAAAAGCCAGAAAACATAAAATTTGAGTCAACTGGAGCACCACTAAAAACAGAAAGATATACAAAAGATGATTTAGAATTTGCTAAAAAATTGTAAAAGGTGTTTTTGTGCTATTCTTGCCTTGATTTTAGTGAATAGTGTTTTAAATTTTAGGTCATTTTCCACAATTACAATAATTATTCAAGAAAATGTGCAAATGATTTGTAATTTTGTACATAAATTATTGATCTACATGTAGAATTACAACAAATGAAACATTGATCTCGAAAAAATATTTCAGTTCCTGTCATATCAATAGTTTTCAATGGAGTCCAACATTTTTTGACTTTTTAATATTTTAAAACTCAAAAATTTACATTACAAATTTTTGTATACATGTATGCATTTAAACAATTTGGATCATTGCAAATATAATTTTAAACAACATATACATACATTGTAGAACCAGTTAGATTTAGATGACAAGTATGTAAAATCCCTGATAGAAGGTGATCTGTCCACGCCCAACGGTATACTAGACTGTACCGCGGCAGCACAACAGCTACAGAGATGTCGGCATGCCAGTATACATGATGCACTCCTTAAATTGGCAGCTGTAGAAGAACAGATGAAAAAGTTTAATAAATTGAAAGTAGATTTCTCCAGGAGGCTTATCCATCATTTAAATAATTTGTTCATTCACCAGGTAGATTTTTTGTTTATATTCTAGTGTTTACATCTTAGTGTTTGTTTACTTGTTATCACATTACTCCCAGTCCATTGTTGATTCTTATGTCAGGGGTTTATATTAGATGTATATAGAAAGGTCATTGTTTAATTGAGCTTGTAATTGTTCACAGAGATCCACAATTGTTCGTCAATCTACAGAAACTTTGGAAATATACGAAACATTCATATTTTTATATGCTAAAACATTGTATATAAAAACCAGATAAATAAGTTTATGATATGTTTGAATTTGACATGTACATGTAAGCTAAATGTTTGGGATTTGATTCTACCATTTTATTAACACTATCTTTATAAACTTTCACATCAGTTTTATTTGGTTAATTAAATAAAGGTTGCTTAAATTGGAATAGAATTTTTTTTTTTAATTTTTTAATGTCTTTTATAATAGGATATCTATAATATTAATACATGTATTATCAACTATGATATTATATAATAATGGAAAAAAAATCTTATAAGCAAAAATTAATCACAAATATGTAGTCCAATGTTTTGAATGTTGTTGTTGTTATTTTGCTGCTGATAGGTTTTTAGTCACACTGACTCTGTGATGGTCATATAGTGACATTCCAGTATAATCGTTGGAGGAAGATCTCAGGTGCCCCTGTCTACATTATTTCAGGCACAAACAGGGCACCTGAGAGGAACCACCAATGTTTTGTAAGCCAGTTGGATAGCTTCCTTACACAAGTGTATCCAAGGTCCGTGGCAAGAGAATACTAGTAACAACTGTTACTAATCCATGTTAGCATTTAATGGCCAGGTCAGCTTGCATATCCATTAGCCAGATGGATAATATTGTTCAGTTTGACTGCTTATTTTCAGTAATTAAGACATTTAAATCACATGAACATTTATTAGACTGTTTATATGTTGATTGCTAACTTTCAGCAGAGTAAAGGGTAAAGTAAGATTGTTGTTTATTTTATAGGGGAACGAGTTAGGTGAGACATTGAGTAGACATTCATCAGAGCTGAAGTTACCCCAACATCATTCTAGTCACAGAGATCTTACTCCATACACAGAACTTATGGCATGGCTTAAACAAGCGGATCATAACAGCTTTAAAGAATTAGCCAAGGTAGGCTTCTGACTTTAGAGATTTTCTTTTAAAAAAATAACAAGATAATTTTTTTTAATAAGGAAAATTAAAAAGTATGGTATCTGCTATAAATGTGTTTAAAGTTGTGATTAAACTTAGAACAAGAATATCTATATTTGACCAAAATATCTTTTTGAATTATAGTTATTTCAGTTGTCCATTTCTCATGCCACAGATTTGTTCAAATTGCACATTTTATACATAGGTATATGCTACAAATTTGTCAAAGCTATACAGTAAGGAAATACAAGAGTTTCTAGAATGTGCCAGACAGACTATGATGGGTAAAGGAGATAAAGCTAAACTGAGTAAGTATAATTAATAATTTAATACATATTCCAGAGGGAGATCTAAGCACAGTGGTTTGTATGTCTAATATCATACTGCTTGTTTCTCAGTGTCATATATTTGTGTCTTACATAGGATTATAACTTCTCATAATTGAGAAATTTATATAAGTAGGTTATGATAATAACAGATTCTGTATTTTACCTTTAAAGCAGCACGCCTCCAGATTCATTCTAATTTTCATGAAAATTTTGAAAATGTATCTGAATGTTTAATATTGTGAAGAAACCAAAAGGAAGCCATTTACACATTTTCAATGGCACTTACAACCCACGTCAGTTACCAAAAATGTAATCAAAATATGCATAAATAGTTGTAAATACTGAAAAATCAGTCATTAATCGCAAAAAACATGTAAAATATTACTTGAATCTTTAATCGTTTTACCTTCCTAAAAGTTCATTAAATTTTCCTTAAGTTTGATTTTATTGAAAAATTTTGACCCAACTAAAGGCATGTAGCTTTAAAGGCACATCCTCTACAAAGGTAGAAAGTTTCCATATTTAATGAATTACAATGTTTCTATTCTTAAAAAAAAATTGATTTTAAGGTAGTCTTAAGGTAATAGTTTCCAGCCAAAAAATTCTAACATTGGCCAATATCATAGCAAATTGGTCATTTCCGGAACATTATTTTTCACAATATTAGATATTCAATATTTTTAACTGTTTATAATTGGAATTTAGTACATAGCCATAAAGGATGAGTGATTGTAAATAATTTAATGCCCTAGATTTTGAAAAAATAAAATTTCGGAAATAACTGATTTGCTACAATATTGACCGATGTTAGAATTTCTTTGGTGGGACCACATTACAGTGAGACTAACTTAAACAAACTATTGTTTACACTTGCTCTGTTCTATGTTGAACTCTTATCATGTACCTTTTTTCTAAGTTATTGATTGATGGAAGCAGACACCTAATTGACCCCTATATTTCACTATTCTATGATTGAAATAAATGCCATGCTCTCAGTTAGGTGAGATAAATGGGAACCTTCTCACTGTAAAATCTGGTATTAACAAAGACATTTCCAAATATCCCATGGAAATACAACAAGATTTTTTTAAAAGATAATGGAGTTTTCACATTAATGATTATTTGTTTTATCAGATGTGAGCGGAGCTAAATTATCGGGATCATCTGCTAGCATAGGATCACCATTGGACAGTAAGAAACGAGCAGGTTCTGTACACAGTGTAGACTCCATGTCAGTAATGCAGGGGACAGACGCTGACATGTCAATGAGATATTTGTTTGACCAGGTAGTTATTGTAGGATATGTAAGAGAATTAAGGGAGACATGTAAATAATGAAAGTAAGAGAAAACACCACCTACCGTCCCTGTCTAACTGGTCATTATTCAGTAAAAGTTTGAAATACTTGAATTGAAGTAATATTTCAAATTATGAATTGATACAGTTATTTTTTCTATAAGTGAACTTGGAAAAACTTCATTTTGAAGTTTTATCTTATATTTTAGACTAGTTCACATATATGTTATTTATAAATATTCCTGACAGGTTTTATGGCCTAGTGACTCAGGTTTTGTTTCTAAACAGTTGTTTATACAGCCATATAACCTGTCAGAAATAACTAATACAGTGAACTTCTCTTTTTAAAAAAAACAAAAACAAAAAAAACAAGTGAGAAAATTCAGCAGAGAATGTTAGTCTTGCATTCAATTTTACTTCCATGTTTGCTTGACAATGTTTTTTACTGCTTGTGTGTGTTTGTTAGTACTAGGTAGGAAGTGACTGCCTGTTTATGATTGAAATATTGTTTTAATGATTGCAATTATTTATTAAAAACCCATCAGGAAATGATACACAAATAATTAAAAGTATTTTGTAAAAGTAGGAAGATAAATATAACGAAGGTGTAAATCAGAATAAATCTACCTTAATGAGTTGCTACTTAGTACTTAACTAAAACTGAGAAAAGAGAATACTTTAAGTTCATTTGAAGATTTCTTCACATTTTATGAAGTAAAATATTACTCCCATATATACTTAATTATCACAGATGTTTGTAGCTATTGAGTGAAATTACAGGACTAGTTTTCTTTATGAAGTTTAAACATTTAAATGTTTGTATGTTGTAATTACAGGTGTTTGACAAGGTATTGAGTGAGTTTGAACCTGTATGTTTAGCAGAGCAGGATTTCTGTTGTAAATTCTTCCATCTACTGTCAGATGTTCAACCTTCAGCTTTACAGGTATACTTTATAATTGGCTCATCTATTCAAAGAATATAGGGGAGCTATTGTACTTACCTAGAAATTAGAAAAGTCAAGCATGCTGTCCTGCCAACAACTCTTGTTTGTTTGACTTTTCCAAGAATAGGTCAAAGAGGTCAATGTTTGCAACACTGTCGCAACACTGGTTAAGTTTTTGAGTACAAGTTGGTATCTCCAAGACTTCTAAAAGGAATGGGTTGAAAGGTCACACATAAAATAAGGCAAAGGAAAAGGTCACTGTCCAAAGTCCATAACTCTTACATAGATTTTGACAGCATTATGGCCCTTTTTGAAATTAGAAAATTTTTTAATTATCAAGGCTCTTGTTTTTCGATGAAGTACTGAGAATTGTTGAGCACACTGTCTTACTGACAGCTCTTGTATTTCTTAAAATTATTTACATTACAGTATATGCATATATTTTCATTGAACTGACTAGAAGTTATTAATTGTGCTAGGAATATTCATGTAAGGAAAGAGTATCAGACATATTTATTAGTGCTAGGAATATTCATGTAAGGAAAGAGTATCAGAGATGTACCAGAACCAAATACTTCCAATGTTGTAGACACATCGTCTTGATTTTAAAACTAATTAGTGATACATGTACCTATTGGATCCTTCTAAACATGTGTGGAGGTTTATCTGTATTAAGGTTGAGTTTTCATCTTTTATGAAATACTAGAAAAACATATCTTAAGAATATTAGGATATGGTATTTATTTTGTAATCTGTTAAGGAAGTTCTATATTTTGTTATAACATTAGGAAGTGGTATATTTTATTAGTATATATGGAAGTGGTATATTTTTGTTATAATTTTAGCAAGTGGTATATTTGTTTATTATTATAGCAAGTGATATATTTGTTAAATTACTATTTTAGGAAGTGGTGGATGAAGCAGAAGATACAGGAGATATCTGGATGAAACAGAAACCTAAAATTACAATACAGTATGTATATGTTACAATATATTTAACATAAACTTGTCTTAAAATTGATAAATTCTTTAGGTGAACACATTAAAAGTGCCTTGAATTAATAATGTATTCATGTCTATTTCACACAAGTACATTTAGAAAGATTTCTAACCATAGAGAATGGATATGTTATTTTCATTCCCGACTGACCTTTATTTCTTAGATTTTATATATTTTTTTTAAAAAAGGGAAAAGAACTTATATAGGTAATTTTTGAAAATTTTATCATATAAATAAAATCAATTTGAAGGAATTCTATGTTAATGTGCATCAGCTATAAAATTTTCCCTGTGTGTATAAGTGACCTCTGCCGGCTGGGAGTATTCAATTGTTTTTATTTGCTATGTTTCCATGACAACGAAATTTCAGATTGGTAGATGATGACTCATATCCCAGGTATAGCTTGTACTTGTGTAATTCTGTTGTCTCTGTATTTAGATGGTGTTTCAAAATCTATTGCTATTCTGAACACAAATGCTGTTGTGAAAAAGATTTTTTATTTTTATTTCTGAACTAGCTGACAAATAATTGAATTCACATTTCTTTGTTATAGTTTCTTCGTTATAGTTTGAGTTTACAATGTACACATCTTTTCCTTTCTTACTGTTGTTCAGAAATTAGGGAAATGTCTCATTATTTGACTAGTTGTAACTGTATATCTGGATAGCTATATGCTTACAGGCTTTGGGCCATTTGTCACTGTAAAATAAATTCGAAAAATATATTTAGAAAATAGATGACCTACCGGTATCTTCACAATCATTTGGACATGGGTTCAAACCCGAAAGGGAACAAATTTTTGATCTTACGATTATTGTCACTATTTTTTTTTCTATACCAATTTCAAAAATTTTAGTTTCCTTTAAATTCAGGAATTTATTGAAAATGATATTTATTTAAGTTTAAAATATTGTTTGATAAATACATTTAACCCTTTTTTTGTGACAATATCCTTCATATTTTAGTACAAAAAGATAAATTCTAACACTCTCGTGAATTTGTCACTATAGACAAAGAAGGAAATTTTTTTTATGTTTTCACCCTCGATGGTATACATTAGTTTTCAAAGCATTTTAAAGCAGCAATAAAAAGCATTTTTATTTATATTTTAAGTTCATTTAATTTTTTCTTTTCATTCAATATTGAAGTAATATCTCAAATACACTAACGCGACATGTTAGATCCATATCAGTTAATAAATATTTTGACAAAACGGCGCCAATCCGTAAGCAGCGTAATGACGTCATCCTAAGTAAACAACTCATTCATAAACAAGCTGACGTTATTTCGTACATACAAGAATGATAAATTGGACACTGATGTAAACACAATACGACGTAAGTTTTTATTGTTGAAAACTTTATAAAATAACGTTGTTTTTTTATGCCCCCACAATGTGGGAGCATATAGCGTTGCACTTGTTCATCCGTCCGTCAGTCCGTACGTCCCGAAATCTTGTGAACGCAACTCCTCTTAAACCGGATGGCAGATTTTGCTTAAACTTACAGGGATGAACAACCTTAATGTGTAGATGGTAGTAAAGGAAGGAATTTTCGCTGCGACCAAATTTAACAGAATTATGGCCCTTTGTTGATTTTTTCACAATATACTATGTAGAAATTTTGTGAACGCAACTCCTCTTAAACCGTATGGCAGATTTTGCTTAAACTTACAGGGATGAACAACCCTAATGTGTAGATGGTAGTAAAGGAAGGAATTTTTGCTGCGACCAAATTTAACAGAATTATGGCCCTTTGTTGATTTTTTCACTAAATACTATGTAGAAATTTTGTGAACGTAACTCCTCTTAAACCGGATGGCAGATTTTGCTTAAACTTAGAGGGATGAACAACCTTCAGGTGTAGATGGTAGTAAAGGAAGGAATTTTTGCTGCGACCAAATTTTACAGAATTATGGCCCTTTGTTGATTTTTTCACTATATACTATGTAGAAATTTTGTGAACGCAACTCCTCTTAAACCGTATGGCAGATTTTGCTTAAACTTACAGGGATGAACAACCTTAATGTGTCGATGGCAGTAAAGGAAGGAATTTTTGCTGCGACCAAATTTAACAGAATTATGGCCCTTTGTTGATTTTTTCACTATATACTATGTAGAAATTTTGTGAACGCAACTCTTCTTAAACCGGATTGCAGATTTTGCTTAAACTTACAGGGATGAACAACCTTCAGGTGTAGATGGTAGTAAAGGAAGGAATTTTTGCTGCAACCAAATTTAACAGAATTATGGCCCTTTTTTTATTTTTTCATTATTTACTATGTAGAAATTTTGTGAACGCAACTCCTCTTAAACCGAATGGCAGATTTTGCATAAACTTCCAGGGATTAACAACCTTAATGTGTAGATGGTAGTAAAGGAAGGAATTTTTGCTGCGACCAAATTTAACAGAATTATGGCCCTTTGTTGATTTTTAGTTTTCAACTTGTGGCACATGTAGTCCAAAAAATATTTTGTCATAAGATTGACAGAACAGTGGCATGTGGGGACATCCGTGTCCTATGGACACATTTCTAGTTTTCTTATCATTTCTTTTGTTTGATAATTTCTATCCTGGTTGTACTATCTACCGGGAGTGTAAGCCTTATTAGGCCCATCATCATATAATACAGAAAAAAATCTAGGATAAAATAGTTATTTTCTGTAGAGTGTACCATTTTTTGATGAAAATAACAATCATCCAAAAGAAATTTTAACTATACATCAAAAAGATAGTTCTGTTAATAACCTTATATGAGTGGCAGCCATTTTTTTTTTTAACCAGGTTTTCCGAAGGAAAAAACTGGTTATTAGATTGAGGTATGTCGGCGGACGGGCGGACGGGCGGGCGGGCGTAAACAATTTCTTCTGTGCGCAAGTCCTCCTACATTTCTCAACGGATTTTGACCAAACTTTCACAGAAGCTTTGTCATCAAGTGCCCTGGCGCATATTGTCGGGGTTTTGCGATTAGATAATTATTTGACTAATTATGGCCCTTTGTTTTTTTTTTCCTTATATAAAATATATAGTGAACAATTTATTCTGTGCGCAACTCCTACATTTCTCAACGGATTTTGACCAAACTTTCTCAGAAGCTTTGTCATCAAGTGCCCTGACACATATTGCCAGGGTTTTGCATTGGG